GACTTCAAAATTGGTGTGATATATCAATTAGTCAATATGGATAAACATGTTTTCGAATAAGTTATATTCCATACATTTTGTCTTACCAATATTTCAGATTAATCTAAAAATATAACATAATAAAATATGTGAAATTACTTGTCTATTTTTTTTCTTAACATGCATTCTACAGAGTTTTAATCTAAATGGTTATACATCAACAACACTATACACATAATAATATGTTGAATGATCTAATATACCTATATGTCTTACACAAAACGTTAAATAATAAAATTATCATTAGTTTTTTTTTAAATACAAAAACCTTATAGCAGAAAATTGTGTAAATAGAAAGGTTCAGCAGTAAAAATCATCGTAAATAAATAAACTAAGTCAAAATATGTGCAGCCCTTAATTTGTTTACTAGGTTTATATAGTAAGATGATTATACAATCGTATTTACTAGTAGTATTAGATTAAGGGTTTTCCTTTGTCATGCCATTGATTTTATTCTTTAGAATAATTTTAATTTTTTTGATAAAAATTCTTTAGAAAATTTGCAACATAAGTCAAGTAATTATATTGATTTCAACAAATTATATAGATCCGTATATCTTTAAAATCGACATGCATTATTTAGTTGTGCATCTACGTATCACGCATTGATTCATTGATTCATCATTAGCGAGACTAATTCCTATCACCTAATGCATTGAAAATGAGAATTGTACATTCATAAGACAGTAAAATCCAATATTAAAAAAAAAAAATTCAAAACCAAAAATATTCACGGTTGCCAATCCTAAAACGTGAAAAAAACAGAGAAAAATAAACAAAACAGTTTATAAAAATATAAGATAAAATAAACGATACTAAATGGCACCAAGACGGAAACTAAACAACTAAATGATTGAGACGTTTATCTGTTATCTGATCACTTGATTTGAATCTAACACTTTTTAGTGCTTCGAATACACCATGACCACTACCATCCCACTACCCCAACATTTTTACTAGAAAGAATTGGGCAAAGCGGTGATCATTCATATTTTGGTCCGACAAATGGGTCCGAAAAATGGGAGAGAAAGACAATATAGATGTTCTTAGGACTCATGCGAAGTGATTAATACATTAAGATGGGACACTATATTCTGAACATTCGAAAAGAGAAGTGTTGTAGAAGTTGGCTTGGGAATCTGATTTGCAAGATTAGATATCAATGTCACATCTTGCCTGAACCTTTTGTTTTATTAAATAAATTGCGTTTACTAAACTTAATTAAATCTTATATCTTACGTTATAATACGAATGAAATGGCTGATGGTTTTTGATGGAGATCATAATCTATCTATCTACATTATCTCATAAGTTTTACCATTGAGTATCTTTGTCGAGTGAATTAGGTAAATGGCAGGAAATACAAATTTATTTAGGTAAATGTCAATTGTCGGAGTATACAAAATTGTACAAGTAAAAATTAGGTATATATATATATATATATATATATATATATATATATATATAACAGGGTAATTTAAAATGAAACATTTAAGGATCTAATATTATTTAACATGCCAAATAATAATATATAACCCCAAGATAATAGATCAAACGTTTGTATAATGGAAATATAAATTTCTTCACTAAATTAGATATTCACATGGAAAAATATACAGCATGGTACAAAATCAAAATCATGCATATGCACTCTATTCTTGTTTTAGAGAAAGATACTCTCTATATGTGATTTGTTGAGGTGTTGTTGGAAAACTCATGGCTTAGTGTTTTCTTCCAGGTGATCTAAATCTATTGATCTCTGTGAGTATTGATGAAGTTTAGTCGCGTCATGAATCTGGATTTGGGAGTTACTTTGTGAAAAGAACCTCTTTTAAGTTATACCTAAGGTTTAAAATGATTGCTTCCGTTTTCATTCTTTTCCAATTAGCAACGGATTTCTTACAAGTTCATATATTAACTTCTTAGAAATCTATAAGGAAATTAGAAAATTTATGGGTGACAACTGCCCCCTACTTACCATATGTAGATCCGCCCCCTGTACCTCATGTTTTTCGTGGAGTTTCTTGAATGGCTAAAGATTACCCGGGAAGATGAGATGCAAGGATGCTACTATAGGAGACATTAAGTCTAACAAGCTCCAAATAAGATGGAATTCCTTATGTTTACCAAAAAAATAACAAAAACTAATGAAGTAGTTATAGATCTTCAGAGGTTTTGAAATTCATCTTCAAATCCGTCCACACTTAACAAAAACCCCGAAATAACGAACATATTTTAATTTGATTACAATTGCCAAATATGCTTGTAGTGATCCAAATAAACTTTTAAATTTTAATCTATATGAACTAGAACGTCTAAATCCAACTAACTTGAACTGCATTTTTGGTTCTTGATAGCATACACAAATATTTGACTTCTATTAGAAAATTCGATACGAAAAATCTACATTTAAATGAAGTCATTTTTAATTGAATCCTTCTTCCACATTAGATATAGTTCTCATATCCACTTCTTTTACAAGGGACCAGCAAGATAAATTGAGGTGGTAATTAGTAATCATCCAGTAGCTTATCTCTGTTTGCTAAAATCTAACAAAGTCTCACATTTGAGGTTACTATTTTTTCTGTTTATTTTTGCAGGCTTAATACTTTATATCTTTCTCAACTATCCACTGATGCAATAAAGGTTCCTAGCTCAAATGGACTTACTATCTAAGATTTGACATCAAGAGAGATGGAACAAACCATTATTCAACTCAACTCTCTTTTGGTAAACTCCACTAACTGTGACTAGCTAAGGTAATTTGACCTGATTTTTTTTTTTCGGCCTAGGTGGTTCTAACAATGATTCCAAGTTACTTAAGTATTTGAGAGATAGTCATGTTGCATATTTAGTCATAAGTTATTGAATTTCTTATTTGGTATTTATATTAGGAGAATCAATAAGGCACTAAAACAACTATAACCTCTTACATTAGGCCTTAAGAAATTATAGGTATAAATATGAATAGTGATGGGGTTGGATTAAAACATCACATCGTTTCTATGAAGTCAACTTGTCAAGGGCTCTAAAATAAACTGCTTTACTTTACAAGTTGGGATTGCAATTGTTTGGCTTGTTCTTATAAGATTCTCTTCTAGAGAGGACAATGGGGATGCGATCAAGTATATACATACATATAAAAAACCAAAGGGTATTAAAGGCTAAAGGTAATTTCTTAGAATGAAATCAAATGAAATTAGAAGGTTGACGAGAAAACACTTTCTGAACTAGCCATTACCACCCACCATGTCTCTATTATAGATCTTGTTAGCCAATACAATTTGCCAAGTAGATACTCTACTTGGCAAGTGTGAGACATTGAGACTTTCAAAAGTCTTCCCTTTTGTCTTTTTTTTTTTGGTATCAATAGTCACTACCTTTATTATATATATATATATATATATATATCATTAATTGATGTATGTTGTGAAGGCAATACAATAATGGTTACAATGACTTCACACATTGCTCTTCTACTATTTTCGGTTCTTCTTTTTCTTCTTCTAATCAGGGGACAAGGTGAATCGTTCCAATCCCCGGTTACATCACGAATCGGTGCATTACCTTCAAATTCACGTAGAGGTCAAGGTCCGTAGCAAAGTCTGGCTAATAAACGAAGGAGAAGAGATGAGTAGTAACTTAAAGTTGCATTCCAAATAATGTCTACTATTTATTTTTAAAGAAAGATATATTATGCTGGTACGAGTTACGTTGTTCATTGTTTTAGCCTTCCATGTTAATTACTTTTTATAAGGGTTATGTGATCATAATACATAAAGTCTATCTTCTAACCCGTGACATCCTGCTTTTTTAAGCCTCATGAAGTTTCTGTAAGCTCAATATTGTATCTGAGATTATATGACTTCCAAACAGTCTATGTTACGTTTTTCGTTGGATTCTCAAAACAGTATAAGACAACATTCAATTCCGGACTTCTATAAATATCGTTAATCCATTGCTAAATAACTTAACAACGAAATAACTACAACCGATTAAGCATCGTTAATTGTTTAACTAAACTAGTTTTTCGTACTTCATTTGTAGTTAAGGATGTTTAAGCCATCATTTACGTTAGGCAAAACGGCCGATACCAACACCAACATCCGGAGCCTGTGACTATATATTACTGTACTAGAAATTGATAATCGTGTTACAACGGTTCGAAACAGTCATCGGAGAAACGTGCCGTGATGCCGTCAATATGACCGTCAAATGTGCCGACGTGGTGTTGCCTAATGTGCCATGTCCATGTGACGGTTCGAAAAATCTTGGGCTTAATGGGCCTGCAGAAATCATACTAAACCATAGTTAATGCCTTAATGGCACATGGACTTGACCCTTTTTTTTGGGTTTAATGTGCCGAAAAAAAGTACTAAAGCCTTCAGAAAAATCCGACCCATTTAGTATTTCCACCCCGTAATCTATGTTATAATAGGGAACGAGAAACCATAATTAATGGCACATGGACTTGACCTTTTAACAAGAAGCGATAAGTCTTTGAACTGGTAAGTCTTTGAACCGAGAAGATGAAGGTCAAGTCCATGCGATAAGTCTTTGGACATGAATCATATACCTAAATGATAAATCATTACCCACCCCTAACAACTCCTTGTTACCTTGTATGTGGTTACTTTGTGATTCTGTAAGATCTCATATCTCATATCATTTTTTTAATATATTTTTTTTTTGATACAATGTGAATTCTATAACCAAAATTGGAACAAAGTTATTTACAATAGGTTGGGGGCAAGGAGCTTCTATGGCCAAAAAAAGTTTAAAGCACCTTAGAGAACTAGTACAAAGAGAATCTTGAGTTTATTAAGCGTCTGTACAACCTTTGTGATACCGTCTAGCTAGAAGAGTGTCTCTGATGCATATGCTAATCTGCCGAAAGACCACTACAAAAGTAACTGAGACATTGCTGTACAACCTAATGTTTCTTTCTATCCACATCAAAAAGATCAAACTTGTGATGGCTACGTTAAAGGAATACAAAAGTAAGAATAGACACATTTACATAGAAATTAAAAGAAAAATAAAGAAGAAGATTTTCCAGTTTATTTTGGGGGTTGTTTGATTAAACAAGCATTTCTAAAAAGAGAGGAAACAATAGGCTAATGATGATGTCTTATGCTGGATGACTTGGGGGACTGCAAGGTGGCTTCTTATAAGGTTCCTTTTTTTGGGGTCCCCTTTTTGACTTGCTTCGCTTCACTCTTGCTTTCATTTGGACAACAATTTCATTACTCCTATTTTCATCTCCTTCTCTATTCCCTAATTAATGTTTTAGAGAAATTAAAGCAAAGCACAAAAGAGTTATGAGTCTTGCATACAAAAGAAAAGAACTAGGCTCTCATCCGATTGTATGATCTACCTAAACCTAAAAAATCGCGTACATACTTAGTCGGTCGATGTTATTGGTTCCGGATCTGTAAGCGTAATGGAAACGAACCTGTGAAAATGTTTTGACTTACCGAGCTTCCGATGCTTTGGTTGTTTGGTCGATATTGCTTCTACTTGTCCGAAGAAGAGAGGAGACAAAAGGAGCAAAGCTACGATGAGAATTACGAAGAATGGTGCCTTTCTTGTCATTGTATATCTTGCTGTCCAAAAAGCCTATAATTTTCTAACTTATTCAATATAGTTTTATAGTTAAACATATCCACCAACCCAACTTGATTTCACACTATAATGTTGAAAGCAATGAACTCTCGCACACAATATTCAAGAATGTCATACTTGCCCTCACGCGAAACTTATCGAAATTTCCAAAACATAATCCAGTCAGATAGTTATTTTCTAGTTCTAGTTACAATAATTATACTTCACCATCTTGAGAGTTTTGTTCAATTGATTACATTAATTTTCCTGTTTGTTAATTTTTTTGTTCAATATTTATGCTAGATCTTTCTTACTTTGAACAAAAAAAAAAAACGGATCTTTCTTACTGAAATATATAATTTGATATGCTATGAAGAAAAACTTACGGGAAAAGGTTAATTTTCTTGAAAAAGAAAGTTGACTTTGATAGAGAAAAATTATAGGAAATTACACGAAGGCTTGGCAAACAATTCATGCTAGAGAAAATCAAGTAGACGAATAATTTTGATTGATAAACGAAAGCCTCACTACAGCTGTTGCCATTTCCTCATATATTCCTAGATAAAAATATTCACCGTCACAAGTGAGTGCACCTTATTTCCCGTCAAAAAGCTCTAGAGTCGCAACAACGAATTCCTTTGAGGTCTGATTTACAATAGCCACCTTATTGCAAAACTAGACCCAATAAAACCCTAGAGAACTTCACTATTATTTTTTTTGGGAAAACCCTAACTAGAGAACTTCTATATAGATCATATAGATATACCTAAAAAAACGTCTTGAAGATACATTTTGTTGTGGAAGCCCCTTTGGCTCATTGGTTGACCAAAGCTTAATTAATGTTTCTAAACCAAGAGGTCTGAGGTTCGAGTTCCAGGTACTGCGATTTATTACAGCTGTTGCCATTTCCTCATATATTCCTAGATAAAAATATTCACCGTCACAAGTGAGTGCACCTTATTTCCTGTCAAAAAGTTCTAGAGTCGCAACAACGAATTCCTTTGAGCTCGGATCTACATTAGCCACCTTATTGCAAAACTAGACCCAATAAAACCTAGAGAACTTCTCTATTAATTTTTTTTGGGAAAAACCCTAAATAGAGAACTTCTATATAGATCATACATATACCTAAAAAAAATATCTTATAAGAAGATACATTTTGTTTTGAAAAAAGAAGAGAAAAATGAAAATTTAAAGATGAAGTCGCGCGTTAAAAAGGGGAAAATAGTGTTACTTATTTGATGGAAATAACAATAACTAAAAGTCACTTTAGGTAAGACTCTAGTACTAACATTTTATATTTTTATTATTAATAAACAAGAAAACAGTCGTTTAACGAGTACAACAATAGTCGCTGCCTAGTCGTAAAACATCTAAATACGACTATGTTACGACTAATTCACTTAGTCGTAAATCCATAGTCGCTAAAATGTTTAGTCGTTAAAATAGTTATTTAGCGACTAAATTACGACTATATCTCATGAAAGCTATAATAGTCGTAACATAGTCGTAAATCTAATACGGCTATGCTACGATTAAATCACATGCACACTTGGTCTCCCAAGTGTAGTCATAACATAGTTGTAAAGTTTCAGTGACCATAATACGACTAATTGGCGACTAAAATTACGATTACATTTATTAGTGACTATATAGTCGTTAATTTTTGTGTCTAATATGCGACTAGTTTTACGACTATTGCGACTATATAGGTTGACAGAATAAAAGTTTGGTAAGACCCGAATTGTAATTTGTTATGGTTCTGATTGTCGTTCTTAATCTTATATGAAATTGCAAATATCAAAATTAACTTTATAATCCAAATATGGTATAAAATGAAAAGGAAAAATAACCTTATAATCATAATATGAAAAATACACATATAAAGTTCTTGTTCAAACTATTTAAATGTACAAACTACAACAACATTTACAGATAAGTGACATTATGTTCAAGTGAATGTTCAAGGGACAACGAAAAGAGTTGGAAAATAAAGCAACGTATGGATCTTGTTCGGGAAGAGTGTTTGCAATGGCTCTGTGGTACCAGTTGAATAAGAATGAGTGGCCATGAAGTCGAGGAATTGCGGATCAGTTTGACGCAGATACTTCTCCACCAAGGACAAGTGTTTGAGCTTTTCATTTTGCTCAGCCGCGACTAGGGCTAACTTAGCTTCACGGGTAGCAACCTCAGACTCTCGCCTTTCATTATATGCAGCCTGCTCTTCTATTTTGCGGTGAACATCCTTCAGCTGTTCTTCCAGAGCTTTAAAGGATGATGAGTCTCCAGGGTGCCACTGACAAGAGTGTCCTTCAGACTTCCAATTCCATAAGGATTTCCTCTTGCATCCTTCTCAGTGGACTTTGAAAAGGAACATAAAAGCAAGAGATTAGAGAATGACAACTTAAACTCCAAGACTATATGAATGTGTATTGGGAAAATTCAACATAACCTGAAGAAAGATGGTGATATGCTCCTCTGTTGTGAGCTTCCGAGGTCATGAAGCGCCATCAGAAACTACAGAAGTATCTTCCTCTATCTCAGTCAACCTTTAATATTATTTTAATAAATTTTTTTTATTAAATTTTAAACATATCATTTAATTATATTAGACATTTTCTAATCATACAGTCAAAAGAAGTAATTATCGCAAGGCATAGAGGGGGAGGTCATAAGCGTCTATACCGTAAAATAGATTTTCGACGAAATGCAAAAGACATATATGGTAGAATTGTAACCATAGAATACGACCCTAATCGAAATGCATACATTTGTCTCATACACTACGGGGATGGTGAGAAGAGATATATTTTACATCCCAGATGGGCTATAATTAGAGATACCATTGTTTTTGATGATTAAAATTACACATCATTTTATCAAATAGATTTTAATTACATTAGAAATTTTGTAAATAATGATAAAAGATAACACATTATTTATCAATAACATTATTTATCAAAATATCAAAATGTTGAAAAAATATCATATTATTCATCTCAGATATTTTCTAATATTATAGTATTTTATTAACTAAAGATATTAATTTATGTTTATATTAACCTTAACTAATATCAATTAAAATTAATATTAATATATAGCTTAAAATTTTGTATAATGGAGCTTGATATATAGATATTTTTATTTTATGAATTGTAGAAAATTTTTTTTTTAAAAAAAAACCTATAAACTATTTAATCTTATTATATAAAGTATAGTTTTCAAAGTTAGTAACTCAGAAGATCGTGTCACGTGTCAAATTTATCGATCTCAAATTTTGACATGTGTTAAACAAAAATTCCTTTTATTCATTTTCAAAAAAAAAGGAAACTATATGCACATATCAAATTTATCGATCTCAGATTTTAACACGTGTAAAACAAAATTTTATTTATTTAGAAAAAAATTATAAGGAAATTATACTTATTTATCTTATATAAAAAAATTCTAAAAATCTAAAGAATATAATTATAAGGAAACTAGATGTATCTTATTAAATAAAAATAGAAATATAAGAAAAAAATTATAAGGCAACTAAATGTATATCATATATAAAAATAATTTAAAAAGTAAAAAAGATAACTATAAGAAAACTATATGTATCTTATTAATTAAAATAAAAAATAAAAAAATCATTTACTAATCCTAATTTAAAGCTACTAAAAATTGATTTTTAAGGGTTTAAAATTTAAATTTATAGGTTTAGGTTAATTAATTTAGATTAAAGGTATATTTTTAGGAGGAAGGGTTTAGCATTTAGGGTTTAGTTTTTGTTGGGGTCGGATCCCACACATTTAAGGTAGGATCCATTTGGATCTGTCCACGTCATTATTACATAATAATCCTCTTGGAGTTAAAGATATTTTATTATGAGAATCAAGCTTGACCAGTCGGGAGTTCGATTCGGTTTACTAAAAGAGTTCGATCTTTACCAGTACGGAGTTCGCTCTTATTCAACATACAGTTCGCATAGAGAAAGGCCGAAGCGAGGAGAATATTGTTCGAGGTTGGCGGCAGCGTCAAGACGCGGAAGTTCGGAGTCAACAAGAAAGAGTTCGGAAGATCCGCGCGAATCCCAAGATAGTTCAAATTCAAGCCGTTTCGGTCAAAATGTAACTTATATGATTAATGCGGATCAATGCGATTGTGAGCAGTAAATGACCGCATTGATCATGTTTTCTCTATAAAAACAACCTCAAACATATGTGTTTGACGGAGAGGCGACTATTCATTACTTTTGAGCAATACAATATATTTTTCTCTCTTTACTATCTTTCGCAAGGCATTTTGTACTTCGTCTTTATCAATTTTTTCCTCATTTCTTTTCTTGGTTGATTTCTTTTTCAAATTCTCATATTCATTTCCTGATTTTACAAGAGTTTTTCTCCACAAAAATACTTAAAGATAATCGAGTGCGAATCCTACATCTACATTTTGGCGCCGCCTGTGGGGAGTTACCGCAAAACTCTTTAATCTCAAAATCTTTCTTTCCCAACCAAGAAACTATGGCTGATCCACAATCATTGAGCGATGCAATTGCTTTGCTTACTCAGACAACCACCGATCTGACCAATCAGATCGGTACACTTGTTAGTGCCAACACCACCTTTGGTGAAAGGTTGAACTCAATCGAGCAAACCTTAACAAGTGTTCAAACCACCCAGACGAATTTGTCAAACGCGCAGAACGCTGTTTCAAGCCGTTTAGATAATTTGTCCTCAGCGCGAACAACAACGCGTCAGCGCAGGTTATTCGCGACTCCCGGGATTACTCAAACTCCTCCAGGAGGCCAGCCAGCAAGCACTAGCAATCCGGCAGCCGTAGGGGATGCGACTAACCCAACCGGGGAAGAAATTCCCCAAGGACAGGGAAATCTTCCTGTTGACGACGGATTTTATATAGAAGATCCTGATGTCGCCCTATCGGATGATTTCATCAAAGTTCGCCAAGAGCTTAATGAAATGAAGTCAAAATTTCATCAGGCTACCAGTTCGGCGCCTGAGATCGATCGAGTAATCGAAGAAACTCGTCGAACTCCCTTTACCTCGAGAATCTCGAACCTTC